TGGGACTCCATCGTATTGGTGAAGAAATGGGTTTTCATTTTACTTTTGTTGATGTCTCATCATATAATTTTTTTCTTTTAAATTTGAGTAAAACTCTCTTTTAGTACCAGGTTATTAATGATGTGCCTTTATTCTTTCAGATTGTTAGTTTCTCTTATTGTATGACATGTTGGTTGTTCATGGAGTGTATGGGCAACATGAGAGCTTTCACTGAAATCTGGGAAAGGAGATTTGAAATTTTTGTTGGCTTGATTTACGTGTGTTTTGAACTTCTAAGTCTTCTTATGTCTTATTATTTTTTTAATATTATGCCACCCAGAGATTTTCTAAATTATGGCATCTTTAGGCCTAATATCTGCAGAATTAGGAAAGTCATGGTCTAAAGTAATGCAAGAAATGGTGTTAAATTTATAGTGTTAGTGAGTGCCCTTGAAGTCAAGTACTAATGGTTGCCCTCAGCTGGTTAAGGCAATCCCGTTCTTCATGGATGGGAAGCTAACCACACTGATGCATTGCTCCTTCCTCCAGAGGTTGATAGCCTGTGCACTAAAAAAATATATTATAGGGTTAGTATTGCTCGTAGATTTGTTTTAGATCAATTGTGGTTCCAACATGTTAGTTAATGGATGGAATTATGTTCTATTTGACAAAAACTTGTTTTATAGTGATGTGGACTGAAGAAAAGACCTTGATTATTCCATAGATACTGCTTCTTTTCGCTCCAGTTTTTTTTTATTTTATTTTATTTTATTTTTTATCTTTTTATCTTTTTGGCTTTGACATACAGATAGTAATGCTAGAATGTGTGAAAGCAACAACAGAAACTCTTGATATATCTGCAATGATGGCAATAAACAAAGCAACGTGAGTTACATCTGAAATTATGAATATTTAATGTTGATTTCTTCAGAATTAACTGTCTTCTGGGATTTGATTGAACAATTTTATAGGGTTATCAATAAAGCAGACAAGACAATGGATGAAATCCTGCAGCAATATGAGAACATTAGGGAGATTCGGGAGGCATTGTCATCACCAACTGGAGCAGCAACTAATTTTGATGATGTACCATTGTTGTAAATTCTTTCTTGAAAAGCAAAATTCAATTGAAAAAATTAATAATTAATTCATTGATTTTGATTATTACAGGATGAATTGGAAGCTGCACTTGAAGAACTCAAACAATCCAATTTGGAGGAACTGCCCATCATGCAGGCAACCAACACCAGCTGTTTCTCCAAAGAGAAACAAAACCAAAGAAGATCTTGTGGTTTTACAGGCAGAGATGACAGTCTAATAGTTACTCATTACTCATGCCTAAGCCTGTAGGATACACATGTGGATGGCACTGGGTAAATTGTTTGTTTCCCAATAAATTCTTCAATCTGCTTTATATAATGGGTTTAAGGACAAAGCTGCAAATCTCATATCTGGTTATCGTTTACAAAAAAATTACTAGTACTTCATCTTAAATTATATTGTCAAATAACAAGTATCTATTACTAATAAATTTGGGATAATCCAAATTTACTCTTTTACTTTTGAAATCAGAAGTAGAAAGCCTATTTGGGATAATCCATATTTGATTGCAGTTGGCTTGCAGTTTTAACTTTTGGATTTAACAAGAACTTGGTGTCCATGTCTTATGATACTCGAAATCTAGAGTGTCAATTAAAGTGAAAATTCTTAATGGATTTTTGGTGCTTACTGTTGGTGTAGTCAAATGCAGTGTTTTTTATAGAATAGTTTATCAATACATATTTTCTAATTTCCTATTTGTCTTTGTTACAGGTTTTCTTCTTCTCTTCCACAATGGAGTTCAGAAAGGAAAATGCCCAAAGATGAGGAGTAGGTGCCTATTGGAGATCTGGCAACACAGGTTTGAGATTGTGCCTTCAATATTTAGCTGTGACTAATGTTTGATAATAAAATAGTCATTTTGCATGATTTCATATTTAATTCCCTTACACAAATAAAACAGGATTATAAACATATTTCTAGGATTGTTTAGGATTGTTTCCTACAAATGCCTTGGATTATTCTAAATTGAAAATTGTTTAGGAACGTTTTCATGAACTGAGGAAAATGGAAGCAGATCTAGAAAATTTATTTTTCTAAATTACAAGGACCACGTACAAATATTTCAAGTGATAATGTGTTTCCTATGTCTCTATTGCAGATTAAATCAGCCTTTGTGGTGACTTTAGCAAATTTATCATATTCTTAATTGCAAG